GTTGATGAAACTGATTTGATTGAAACTAAAATCAATTTCGAAGCTCACATTTTTGAAGACGTTTTCATAACAGTTGTCTTGCAATTCCTTTACATGACTGTTTTTAATGGTCAGAAGTGCAACTTCATGTGACAAGTGAAACAGATTGCAACAAAGTTTCGGTATGTATTCATCAACAATTTCCACAAATATTGTTTGTTTATCTGTAGTTATCTCCTTGGAATAGTGCCACTCATAGTAAGAGGATATGTCACGGGTCTTGTATGTAATTTCATCATTATAATATCCACCACACGTATCTGCTTTACAAATATTAAACAATACAAAAACCGCTTTGCAAATTTTGTAGAATCTTATCTTCATGGTGGACAGAGCGGAATTGAAAAATCGGTAAAATTTCAATTTAAGTTGCATTAAATTTGTTGCATAACGTAAAGGCGTTTTTAATGATCCCACTTGGAAATTATACTGCAGTCTGATAAATTAAAGAAATTTAGATTGATATTATTATATATGAGCTTTATTAATCAATAAATTGCATTACACTGTTATTACTAAGGACATATCAGCCTCAAACTCATGATCGTGGCCGTGATTTTTATTTTTTTTCTAATTTCGACTCTACAAGGGTGGGGGATGCCGTGGTTAAAATTATTGCATATATTTCGCAGTCACCCTGTATATTGATTCGAAATTTCAATGTTCAGAGTTTCTTCTTCGGTTGTAATCTTGTCGGAAAGATAGATTATGTGACGATTAAACACCAAGTCGCTTACCTTATACGTAATTATACCACTTGCTTATTTATCACATGCTTATTTATCACATGCTTCTGCTTTACAAATATCGAAAAATGCCAAAAGAAATATGCAAATTTTACAAAACATTGCCTTCGCGGTATAGAGTACAATGTTGAAAGACGAGTAGTATTAAGTTTAGTTGTCACCTTAGTCTACTACAAACGTTTCTTGCACAGCACATTAGAACATTTTTGATCGCAATATCTACTTACTTGGTTAGTGAATTGGGGAACATTGATGTTATGTCCCGATAAACGGCACTGCACTGTTTTCATGAAGGAAGTTGGATCAAATATACAAACCACAAACTTAAATATCCACAGGTTAGGTCGTTATTCTGAGAATAACCCCCGACCAAGACCAATTAAAGTCATATTAAGTAATGAAATGGAGGCCCATGATATCATTCAAAAAGCTAAAAAAAATAAAAGTGTTGAACGTTTTAAAGACATCTTCCTATCATATGATAAAACTCCCCGTCAAATAGATTACTATAAAAAAATTAAACAAGAGCTTACAGAAAGAACTGCTAAGGGTGAAGCTAATCTTAGAATCCGGTACAGTAACGGTGTATCAAGAATTGTTACTATCAGACAGTTAAACTAAATCGCTCACCCAGTCACAACAATTCCTACAATTGCCTGTACCAGAACGTCAGAGGTCTACGCACCAAAGTTAATGAAGTATATAATTATATGGCATCAAACAGTGTTGAATTAGTTGCTCTTACGGAGACATGGTTGTCTGAAGATATTGATAGTAGCGAAATATTTCCACTAAATAATTTTTGTGTCTATAGACAAGACAGAAATTTCAGTGCCACTGGTTTAACTAAAAGTGGGGGTGTTCTTTTGGCCGTAAACAACAACTTCATATCTTCGGCATTGAACCTGTCCAACTTAACAAAAGTAGTACCATCAATTGATATACTTGGGGTTTCTTCATTGTACAATAATATGACAAAACTATATATTTTTGTAATTTATATACCACCATCTGTATCATTTCACGATTTTGAGCTATTCTTCGATGCCTTCAGCAACTATTACAAAAATTTTGAAAGCCACACCATTGTTGTTGGTGATTTTAATGTTTATAATAGTGATCCATATAATAGATACACATCTCCCTTAAATAAGTTTGCCAGTTTCGTTAATTTTCACCAGTATAATACTATAGAAAATATTTGTTGTCACATTTTGGATCTAGTTTTTGCCAATATACCTTATAATGTAAGCAGATCTGATAATCCAATTGTAAATAAAGATGGTCATCATCCAACCTTCAATAATTCCTTTTCTGGAACAAATAATTCTCTTAAAAGTTTTACTTTCTGCAATAACACACAAGCCTTGACTTCAGAAGGGCTAATTTTCCATTATTGTATAATTTGGTTTTATCTATAAACTGGACCCCGTTGTACGAAGTTCCGTCTGTTGAAATCGCCTGTGACAAGTTTTATGAAATATTGATTAATTTACTCGAAATAACAGTTCCTAAATATCGTAATAGCAAAAATTCTCATTCATATCCACCTTGGTTCAATACAGAAGTCATTAGTTGTCTACGTACGAAATTCTGTTATTTTAAAAGGTACAAAAAGTATGGCACTAATCAGTTCTACGATATGTTTAAGCAATACCGTGGCAGATCAAAAGTCTTAATTGATGCGAGTTTTAGGGTATACATTAATAACATGCAAAACACATTATCAGTTGATGCAAAAAAATTTTGGAGCTCCATTCAGCATAAGAAGGGATCTAGTCGAATTCCTGGACTCATGCAGTACAAGGATCGCATTTTAAACACACCGACAGAAATTGTCAATGGATTTAGTGAATATTTCAAATCTGTTTATGCACCAAATATTAATATACTTTCTAATGAGATTTCAATAGATACTAACACAAACCATAATATTGCTGTGACCAATGTCACAAATGATGAGGTCTTCCAAGCTTTGAAGCAATCTAAAAATAGTTTTACATCTGGAGCTGATGGAATTCCAAGTTTCATATTAAAAGATTGTGCAGCAGCATTGACTGAACCTTTAACGTATTTGTTTAATTTAGTTCTCAGTAATGGAAAAATACCACCAGCCTGGAAAAAATCCGTCATTTGTCCAGTTCTTAAAAAAGGGGATGCGTCAAACATTGAAAATTATCACCCAATAACCCTCCTCTGTAACTTTGCTAAAGTATTGGAATCTGTATTATACTACAGAATTTATGCGTGCAACATGGCTTCATGAAGAATCGATCAACTTTAACAAATTTGTTATGCATTACACAAGACATTTCAGACACACTTGATGATAACGGCCAAATGGATGTTATATATCCGGATTTCCAAAAGGCGTTTGATATTATTAATCACCAGATACTTCTCGAAAAAATGCGTCTCCATGGATTCTCTGGACCGCTGTTATCACTGTTTCGATCATATTTGATAGACCGTCAGCACTGCGTAAGATATCGTAATTGTTTATCTGAATCATTTGTTCCCACCTCCGGAGTTTCACAGGAGTCGAATCTTGGACCATTGCTTTTTTTGTTATTTATCAATGATTTACCAGTCAATATGTGGTGTGATAAACTGTTGTTCGCAGACGACCTGAAATTGTATTATAAGATATCCTCAATAGATGACTGCCGAACTCTTCAAGAAAATGTTAACACTTTGTATCCTTGGTGTCGAACAAACCAAATGATTTTAAATAGACATAAGTGTTACATTATGACATTCTCAAGGCAGAAAAATCCCATTACCTATGACTACAAAATAGCGGACCACACGATTCAACGAGCGGAATATTTTAAAGACTTAGGAGTTACTTTTGACAATAGACTTACTTTCGTGCCACATATAAATGATGTAGTTAGAAGATCACTAAATACTTTGGGTTTTGTGCATCGTACTTACAGAGAATTCACCGAAATTCAACCTCTAATAACACTATTTTTTGCTCTTGTACGCTCCAAACTAGAATATTGCTCCATTGTCTGGTCACCTTTATACAGTGTGCATAGTACTTACTTAGAATCGGTTCAAAGACGTTTTCTAAAATATCTGTGTTTTAAATTGGATGGCATCTATCCTGATAGAAGTTTGAGTGAAGATATCTTATTAGCTAGATTTAATTTTAATTCTTTACGAACACGTAGGATGCTGCAGGGCGTCGTCTTTTTGTTTAATCTTTTGCATAACAAAATTGACTGTATCTATATTAACAATAAAATTTCATACTATGTCCCAAGGTTTAGCACTCGATACAGAACGTGTATTTATTGTGACACTTGCAGGACTAACATTTTAATAAAATCTCCAGTTGTAGTTATGTGCGAAACATTCAATAAAATATCAATTTGGTGTGATATAAATTTTGACAAAATTAATTTTATTAAAAAAAAGGTTATCTCGGTTTTTGGATTATAATTAGGGTGGAAATGTATAAAAATGGTAGGCTTTTCTTTTCATTCCTATTCTTTTATTTTAAGTTTACTTTATTTTTAGAAATATATTAGTTAATTTATTATTATTTTCTGTAACTGGGTGAAAATACCTGTAGAAAATAAATCTATTATTATTATTATTATTACGAGGTAACTTGTTTTGTTCACGTTAACATATTTTTTATTTTTTTCATTGATAGTTTGAAAAATAGGAACAAATAATAGTATATTATTAGCCAAGGTTGCAGAGCCAAGCATTCTAGACCGAGCGCAAATTAGAACCCGAGACGCGCAGCGTCGAGGGCTCTAAGTGCGAGGTCTAGAAGTGGCTTTGCAACCGTGGTTAATATACTATTTTTTTCACTAGTAGAAACCATAAGACAATAAACTGAAAAATAAACGTTCAATTTTTTGACGCAACGTGATTTTGTTTTGATTTCTAATCAAACTTGATCTAAATCTTCAACACAAAGAAAACCGTTTATACTTGTCGCTGAGTTAATCATTTTATCTTCTACCGTCTACCAACTACCATGCGTATACTCAAGTAATGTTTGTAGCACACATTTGTTAATTTTTTAAGAAATAATCACATCAAACATTGCGTACATAACCTCAATTTTTCTTTTTGAACCCGTGGTAGCAAAAGTTGAATTTGCTACCACTAAATGAGTCGACATTTGCATGCGTCCAGGCTGCTAGTGAAAAAAAGTTATTTGAATAAACTAGGCGGTACAGTGCAAAATATTTATTCAGTGCTAACTTGATTTTTAGTTACATGATACATTCTAAAACATGGTAAGTAAAATATACGTATAATTGAAACAGTGATTTTAAATAACAATTACATTAGAGGAATCATTGCAGTAAAGTGAAATATGTGCATCAGCAAATTCAAAAAATAAATCTCATAATCAAGCCCAATGCACAGTAAAAACCATAGTTTCCTTTTTTCCAAGAAACGCTTTTCAAGAACACGCAGTATTTGTCGTTGTTACACCATTTCCATTTTAATGTAAAATTTTTTGAAATTCCCCATTCTGTAAAATCTTCATATATTGCTCCGTCAAGAAAAAAACTGTCTACAAAAATTGTGCCCACGTGACAGTCATTTTTGCACATATCTGACAAGTTTTCGAGGGGATTGCAGGTTAAATCTATGTCTTTAAGAGTGCAATGGTCCAACAAATTTTTTGGTAGCGACTTTATAGCGTCACCTGACAGATCCAGGGATAGGGGTCCTGCAAATTTTCTCTCAAAAGCATTTGAATCAACCAAAGAGATGCTATTTTTCCGTAAATTAATAGAAGCGTTTTGTTTGCCTGTAAAGTTAAAGTTTCTTTTTTCGAGAAATGTAATTTGGTTACATTGCAAGAACAGTGTATTCAGAACTGGTACTTCAATAAATGCTTGTGGATTTAATCTCTGTAGTTGATTATTGGATAAATTGAGCAGCATCAAATTGGGTAAATTGACAAATGCTTCATTTTCGATAACTTTGATGATATTCGATTGTAGGTCAATCTGGACAACTCGTAACTTATTGAACGTTCCCTTGTTGATGAAACTGATTTGATTGAAACTAATAACAATTTCGAAACTCACATTTTTGAAGGCGTTTTCATAACAGTTTTCTTGCAATTCCTTTACATTACTGTTACTAATTGTCAGATGTGCAACTTCATGTGCCAAATGAAACAGATTACAACAAAGTTTCGGTATGTCTTCGTCAATAATTTCCATAAATGTTGTTTTTATTTTCGTAGTTACCTCCCTGGAAAAATGCAACTCAATGTAACGGAAAATGTCACTGGTTTTGTATATAATGTTATCATTATTATATCTACCACACGTATCTGCTTTACACATATGAAAGAATACAAAAAGCGCTTTGCAAATTTTGAAGAATGTTATCTTCATGGTGGACAGAGCGGAACTGAAAAATCGGTAATGCTTATTTAAATTTCTTCATTGATTGTATTAAATTTGTTGCCCAACGTAAAGGCGTTTTTAATGATCCCACTTGGAAATTATACTGCAATGTAATAAATTAAAGAAATTTAGATTAATATTATTATACTCGTATATGCGCATTATTAATCAATGAATTGCATTACATTGTTATTACAAAGGAAATATACATTCATAACAAGTAATAAACGTCAAATTACTGAAGTACCACATTTCATAAAAATGAATTATATGTAGAAGCAATTTTTTTCAACAGTGCCTTAGACTCTTAAAAAATAATATGTAGTTTCTAAATCGGTTGAATTTATCAATACATTTCGGTTCTTTTAGTGATTCTGCGTATGTCGTAAAATTTTCAAAATTTCCCCTGTCAAAAAATTTTTCATTTACAAGCATAATTCGTATGCTACAGTTATTTTCGCACATCCTTGCTAGATCTTCAATGGGATTGCAACCGCAATCTATATATCCGAATAGCTGGTTATCAAAGAAATGTGCTGCCATCGACTCTATAGCGTTAGCTAACAGATCAACAAAAAGTTGTCCTACTAATTTCCTGTCGAAAATCCTGGATTCAATGAAAGAAATATTGTTGTTGCTTAAGCCAATAAAAGCGTTTCGTTTGCCAATGAAATTAAAGTTTCCTTTTTCAAGAAATACAATGTTATTGAAAGCGCAACATTTCTAAAACCGGAAAATAACTATTATTTTATTTTATTTATTTTATTACAGTAATGGTGTAATACATAAAATGATTGAGATTTCTAGTGTTTATGTTTCTACCACCAATATTTTTGTGATAGAGTAATGTTTTCTAACACAGAGATACCATAACATCAGTGCTTTAACAAGTATAAGAATCGTATATTATAATTTAAACAGTGTTCTTAAACGCAATTACCAGAAAAATGCCGCAAGTAAAACGAAATACGAAACGTCGAAATCTTTCTCAGAATTTATGATCTAACTCAGATAGATTGATCTCAGAATAACAAATAATTCCGTAAAATGTTCAAAATTTACTCTATCAAGAAATCTCGTATTCACAAGCCTACAGCTTATGCTGCAGTTGTTTTCGCACATTCCTGATAAGTCTTCAATGGGATTGCAACCTAAATCTATAATTATGAAGATGTGATTTGCAAACAAATTTGCTGGCATCGATTCTATAGCGTTATTTGACAGATCAATAGATAGTGATCCTTCTACTTTCCTTTGAAAAGCCCTGGACTCAATGAAAGAAATATTGTTGTTGAATAAGTGAATATAAGCTTCGCGTTTACCTAAAAAGTTAAAGTTTAAAATGTGTTTGCAAGTTGGTTCACAATGTTTTTTGAAATAGAGACATCATAAAACTGCAGCTTTAACAACCATAAAAACCCTAAGTTAAAGGAATAAATACTATATATTATAATTTAAACGGTGGTTTTCAGTGCAAATAGTTAAATGTAGTAAGGTGGAGTGAAATACGAAAGGCCCACATTTTTTTAAGAATCCACCTGCTATAGTCTAAACCAGATGGACTGACCTCAGGATAGCAAATAATGCTACATAGTAAAAACCACTGTTATTTTTTTTGGAAGAACAATTTCTTAATTGTTTGCACATTTCTTTACCAACACAACTTGATTCTTCTAATTTAATATTTCTTGAATTTGCCCAAGTCACAAAATTTTCAAAATTTACCCTATCAAGGAATGTGGTATTCACGTATACATAGCTTATGCTAGAGTTGTTTTCGTATAATCTTGATAATTCTACAATGGGATTGCACCCTAAATCTATGTGCTCAAAAATGTAATTATCAAACACATTTTCTGGTACCGACTCAAGAGCGTTAGCTGACAGATCAACAGACAGCGTTCCTGCGGCTGTCCTTTCAAAAACCCCGGAATCAAGGAAAGAAATATTGTTGTTTGATAAGTCAATATAAGCCTGGCATTCGCCCAAAAAGTTAAAGTTTCCTTTTTCCAGAAGTTCAACGTTGTTACAGTGGAAATACAACGAAAATAAAACTGGAACATTTAGAAATGCGTGTGGATTTATTGTGTGTAGTAGATTGTTGGCTAAATCGATTTTCGATCGTTTTGATTAAATTACAACTTAAGTAAATTCGAAGAACTTGTAATTTCTTAAACGTTTCTTTATTGATAATTTCGATTTGATTGGAGCTAAAGTCAATTTCTTCAGTTATATGTCTAAATTCATTTTGATAACATATTGGTTGTAATTCCTTTACATCGCAATTTCCGATGCGTAGATACCTAACCTTATGTGTTAACTCAAACAGGTTGCAACAGGCTTTCGGTATATATTGATTTGAAATTTCAACATCCAGGGCTTCGTGTTCGGTTGTAATCGTGTCAGACATGTAGATTATGTAACGGTCCAACACTAAATCGTATATCTTATACGTAATTATATCATTTTCGTATTTATCACATGCGTTTGCTCTACAAATACCGAAAAATGTCAAAAGAAATACACAAATTTGACAAAACATTTTATTCACTGTGTAGAGCATGGAAGTTGAAAGACGAGTAATACTAAGTTTAGTCATCATCCTAATGCATTTCATGAACAGCACATTAGAAAATGCGTTTTTAATCATTTGAAACAAGATCTACTTACTTGATTAGTGGATTTCGAATGAGGAACATTGATCTTATGAGTCGATAATCACACTGCACTGTTTTTATGAAGGAATTACATTCTTTGATATTTGTTGTGAGTTTAGAAATATCATAACTAACAAACAAAAAATCCTTTTCAACGGTGGTTGAAATTCCGTTATCATCTAAATTCATTAAAACCGAGTAAAATAATTATAAATATCATGACTGTTGAATTTTTTTATTTAGTAAAATATATATTTGTCTTAATGTTTCATGAGATAACCTGTCTTAATTTCTGTACGGACAGTACGAAAGTACATTCGGAGTATAATGAGCGTTAACTTGAAATAAACCACCCGGCGTATTATGTATATTACTTGTTTATTACAATTTGTTAAAAATTAAATACAACAATAATAACAGTAATAGTGTTACATATAACATGATAAATTTTTGGTGTTTATATTTTTACCATCGGGTAATCTTATGATAGAGAAATGTTTTCTGAAACAAAGATATTATTAAATCGGAGCTTGAACAAGTATAAGAACCTATGTCATAATTTCAACAGTGTCCTTAAATACAATTAAAGCAGAAAAATGCTGTAAGTGTAGTGAAATACGAAATCGAAATTTTATGATCTAAGATAGATTGACCTGAGAATAGTAAATAGTGCTACATAGTAAAAACCATTGTTATTTTTTTGTAGCAACAATTTCTTAATAGGTTACCATTCCGACAATACAGCTTGATTCTACTAAGGTAATATGTTTTGAATTGGCCAATGTCTTAAAATGATCAAAATTTACTCTATCAAAAAATGTGCTATTCATAAATATACAGTTGTATTGGCAGATTCCTGATAAGCCTTCAATGGGATTGCAACCTAAATCTATAAGCCCAAAGATGTGATTATCAAACAAATTTGCTGGAATCGTCTCTCTAGCATTAGCTGACAGATCAACAGATTGTGGTCTTGCTAATTTCCTTTGGAAAACACTAGACTCTACGAAAGAAATATTGTTGTTGGATAAGTCAATATAAGCTTGGCGTTCGCCCAAAAAGTTAAAGTTACCATTTTCCAGAAGTTTGACGTTCTTGTATACGTTATAATGTAGTTAAAACTGGCACATCTAGAAATGCATGTGGATTCAATTTGATTAGTAGATTGTTGGATAAATTGATCATTGTCAAATTGGGTAAGCTGAGAAATACTTCGTTTTCGATGCTTTTAACTGAATTATAATGTAACAGAATATGATGAACTTGTAGTTGCTTAAACGCTCCTTTATCAAAAACTTCGATTTGATTGAAGCTAAAGTCAATTGCTAAAGTTATAAGGTTGAATTCGTTTTCATAACAGTTAGGTTGTAATTCCTTTACATTTCAGTTTCTGATGCTTAGATATATCACCTTATGTGCTAACTGAAACAGGTTGCAACAGACTTTTGGTATATATTGATCTGAAACGTCGATGTTCATGTATTCCTCTTCAATTGTAATCTTGCCGGAATAATGAATTCTCTGATCACTCTGATTATATTATTTTCATGTTTGTCACATACATCTGCTCTAAAAATACTAAAAAGAAATATAAACATTTTTGGAGACATTATTTTCACGATGTACACTGCGGTGTACAAAGTCTAGTAATGTATAAAATCCAGGACTCACTTCCCGTCTATTAGTTGATTTCGAATAAGGAACAATGAATTTAGTTATTGACGAGAAAAACGATTTTGCAGGATCTAGAAATAGTGGCCCAACCTATGTTTTACACTATATAAAAAGACCCACTGTTTTCAGTTTTCAACGAAATATTTTTGAATCCTTTGCATTTTTCTTCATAACCAGAGTTTGTGTTAATTTAATGTTGTTCGAATCTGCCCATGTTGAAAAATTTTCAAAATTTATTCTATCAAGATCCGTGTTATTATTCATAAGGATAGAGCCTATACTGCAGTTGTTTTTGCTGATTCTTGATAAGTCTACAGTGGGATTACAGCCTGAATCTATGCATTAAGATCAACAGACAGCCTTTCTGCTACTTGGTTTTCAAAAGAATTGCATTCAATCTAAGAAATACTGTTGTTGCGTACATCAACATGAGCATCACTTTCGGTAGTAAAATTAAAGTCTCCCTGTTTCAAAAATTCAACGTCGTTACAAACAAAATACAGAACACTTAAAAATTTGACCAAACATTTTCTTCACTGTGTAAAGTACCGAGTTGAAAGACGAGTAATACTAAGTTTAGTCATCATCTTAATGCAGTAAACTCGTTTCTTGTACTGCACATTAGAAAATGCATTTTTAATCACTTGAAACAGGATCTTAACACTGATGTTATGAAGCGATAAATGGCACTCTACTGTTTTCATCCAGGAATTTAATTTTTTGATATTTTTAAGCTCAGAAATATAATAATTCACAGGATTAGATGACAAATAAAAAAATCCTTGTCAACGGTGCGTGAAATTCCATTACCATTGAAATTGATTCAGTTCGAACCAAAAAAATATTATTGTAATTGTTGAATATTTTTATGTAGTGAACACTTATTTAAAACAAGAACTGTTACGAATGGTTTTCTGATATTTTTAAAGAGTTTTTAAATTTGTTAATATTGCATGAGATAGCTTGTTTCCTTTCGGAGTTTAGTGACCATTCAGTTGAAATAAAACACCCGGTATATTATGTGTATTAGTTGTATATTATATAAAAAAAACAAGTGCACTAATAGTTACGCTAACAGTGTAACACATAAAATGATATATTTTTGGTGTTTATGTTTTTATGGCCTAGTATTTTTGTGATTGGGTTATGTTTTCTGAAACAGAGATATCTTAACATCAGGGCTTTAACAAGAATAAGAACCGTATATTATAATTTAAACGAAATACGAAACGTCGAAGTCTTTCTCAGAATTTACGAAGTATGATCTAAGCGAGATAGATTGATCTCAGAATAGCAAATAAGGCCACATAATAAAATCCAGCGTTACTTTTCTTGGAGAAAAAATTTCTCATTTGTTTGCACGTTTCTCTAATAAGACAGCTTGATTCTTTTAATCTAATATTTTTTGAATCCGCCCATGTGGTAAAATTTTCGAATTTTATTCTATCAAGAAAAGTGCTATTCACAAATATATAGTTTACGCTACAGTTGTTTTCGCACATTCCTGATAAGTTTTCAGTGGGATTGCAACCTAAATCTATAACTCTGAAAACGTGGTTATCAAATAAATTTGCTGGAATCGACTCTATAGCGTTATATGACAGATCAACAGATAGTGATCCTGGTACTTCCCTTTGAAAAACCCTGGACTCAATGAGAAAAATATTGTTGCTGGATAAGTGAATATAAGCGTGCTGTTCGCCCAAAAAGTTAAAGTTTCCATTTTCCAGAAGTTCGACGTTGTTGCAAGAAAAATACAATGTATCTAAAACTGGCACATCTAGAAATGCGTGTGGATTTAATCTGAACAGTCGATTGTTGGATAAATTGATCAGTGTCAAATTAGGTAAGTTGAGAAATGCTTCATCTTCGATCATTTTGATTAAATTCGATTGTAGCTGAATTTGAAGAACTTGTAATTTCTTGAACGTTCCTTTATTGATAACTTCGATTTGATTGAAGCTAAAGTCAATGTCTGTAGTTATATATCTGAATTCATTTTCATAACAGTTGGGTTGTAATTCCTTTACATTGCAGTTTTTGATTAACAAGAATACAACCTTATGTGCTAGCTGAAACAGGTTGCAGCAGAGTTTCGGTATATATTGATCGAAAATGAGAATGTTTAAGACTTCCTCATCAGTTGAAATCTTGTCGGAATAATGAATTCTGTGATGATCGATCGTTAAATCGGTTGTCTTATATACAATTATATCATTTTCATATTTGTCGCATGGGTTTGCTCCAGAAATAGCAAAAATTGCAAAAAGAAGTACACAAATTTCGCAGAACGTAGCCATCGCGATGCAGACTACGGTGTTAAAATACGAGTAATAGTAAAGTGAGTTATCACCCTAATTATTCTTCTTTCTTACACAACACATCATCAAATGCATTTTTAATCACTAGAAATAGTTTTTCTGACTTAGAAACTAATGCATTAGGATCTACTTTTGCTCTATTAGAAAATTCAAATGATGAAATTTCACGTTGTATGAGTCGATAAATTGCATTAGCTTAATTATTTTCCAGTGAGCACTGCTTATTTCCGCTTTTTAGACGTGTGTAATTATGATGATAACGATAGTACAAATGGAAATATTAACCGTAATGATTAAAACTTTTGAAATGTCTACTATGTATTACTAAGAAGTGGCAAATCTGCAACATTTTTTAATTTCATAGGTTACTGGATCTATGAAACATTTATGAAGGCCCTGTTAAATTTACAACTAATTGGCGCGAAACTTGTACTTCCTTTTCGTTTTTGTGGTTAGAAATACCTACCATAATTTAAAGAGATGGCATAGAAACAAAATTTTTTTCAAGAGTGCTTGAAACTCTTGCCAAATTATTAATATTGAATAAAAAAAAATGTTGTAAATTTTGTAATGTTTGTTGAAGCTTAACATATTGTGAATCTCAATGGACTACAAAATTTTATTATGTAATGATTTTTTGTGATAACATGTTTTCTTTGTGTATGGGTAGTAGTTTCGGAATAACTGACAGTTCAGTTGAAATAAAACACTCTGTATAAGTATGCTACTTATATATTACATTATTTTGGACAACAAAGAGAACAATAGTTGAAGTAATGATGTTACACATAAAATGATATACTTTGGGTGTTTATGTCTCAAGTGGTACTTTTGTAATAGTTTAAAATGTACTTGCAAGTTATTATCAATGTTTTCTGGAATAGTCATCATAAAACTGTAGCTTTAACATCTATAAAAACCCTAACTGAAGGGAGTAAATAACATATAACTATTATAAATTAAACAACGGTCTTAACTGCAATAAAACTTGTGAAATGTTGAAGGTGGAGTGAATTACGAAAGGTTCAAATCTTTTTCAGAGTCCCCCAGCTTCAGTCTAACCCAGATGGACAGACCTCAGAATAGCAAATATTGCTACATAGTAAAAACCACTGTTATTTTTTTTGGAGGAACAATTTCTTAATTCTTTGCACATCTCTTTACCAACACAACTTGATTCTACCAATTTAATATTTCTTGAATCTGCCCAAGTCGCAAAATTTTTAAAATTTACCCTATCAAGGAATGTGCTATTCACGTAGAGAAAGCTTATGCTATAATTGTTTTCGTACAATCCTGATAAGTCTAAAATGGGATTGCACCCTAAATCTAAGTAGCTAAAGATGTAATTATCAAACAAATTTTCTGGGATCAACTCTATAGCGTTAGCTGACAGATCAACAGACAGTGTGTTTGCGGCTGCTTTTTCAAAAACCCTGGACTCAATGGCAGAAATATTGTTGTTGGACAAGTCAATATAAGCGTGGTATTCGCCCAAAAAGTTAAAGTTTTCTTTTTCCAGAAGTTCAACGTTGTTACATTGGAAATCCAGTGATGATAAAACTGGTACATCTAGAAAAGCGTGTGAATTTAGTGTGTGGAGTAGATTGTTGGCTAAATCGACCGTTGTCAAATTGGGTAAGTTGAGGAATGCTCCATTTTCGATCGTTTTGATTAAATTTGAACGTAAGTAAATTCCAAGAATTTGCAATTTCTTAAACGTTCCTTTATGGATAACTTCGATTTGATTGAAGCTAAAGTCAATTTCGTGAGTTATATGTTCAAATTCATTTTCATAACAGTTGGGTTGCAATTTTTTTAAATCGCAGTTTCCGATGCTTAAAGACATAACCTTATGTGTTAACTGAAACAGGTTGCAACAGGCTTTCGGTAAATATTGATTTGACATTTCAATATTCAGGGCTTCGTGTTCGGTTGCAATCTTGTCAGATATGTAGATTATGTAACGCTCCAAGACTAAATCGTATATCTTATACGTAATTATATCATTTTCGTATTTATCACATGCGTTTGCTGTACAAATACCGAAAAATGTCAAAAGAAATATACAAATTTGATAAAGCATTTTCTTCACTGTGTAGAGCACGGAGTTGAAGGACGAGTAATACTAAGTTTAGTCATCATCCTAATGCATTAAACTCGTTTCTTGGACAGCACATTAGAAAATGCATTTTTAATCACTTGAAACAGGATCTACTTACTTGATTAGTGGACTTCGAATTAGGAACATTAATGGTATGACTCGATAATGGCACTATACTCTTTTCATGTAGGAATTAAATCTTTTGATATTTTTGAGCTCAGAAATATCATAATTAACAAACAAAAAAATTCTTTTCAACGGTGCTTGAAATTCCGTTATCATCTAAATTCTAATCTGTTGAATTTTTTTATGCAATAAACACTAATTTGAGGCAGGAACTGTTACGTGTAGTGTTCTGATGTATTTATCTTAAAATTGGCACTTCTACAAATGCGTGTGGATTTATTTTGATTAGTAGATTGTTGGATAAATTGATCATTGTCAAATTGGGTAAGCTGAGAAATGCTTCATTTTCGATGGTTTTAACTAAACTATAATATAACAGAATACGATGAATTTGTAGTTTCTTAAAGGTTCCTTTATTGATAATTTCGATTTGATTGAAGCTGAAGTCAATTTCTAAAGTTATAAGTCTGAATTCGTTTTCATAACAGTTAGGTTGTATAATTCGTTTACATCACAGTTTCTGGTGCTTAGATATATCACGTTATGTGCTAACTGAAACAGGTTGCAACATACTTTTGGTATACATTGATCTGAAATGTCGATGTTCATATTTTCCTCTTCAATTGTAGTCTTGTCGGAATAATGAATTCTCTGATCACCGAATATCACATCGGTTGTCTTATATGTAATTATATCATTTTGATGTTTGTCACATACGTCTGCTCTACAAATACTAAAAAGAATTATAAACATTTTTGGGGACATTATCTTCACTCTGTACACTGCGGTGTGGAAAGACGAGTAATGTAAAATCTAGTTATCATTCTAATGCACTAATCTCGTTTGTTTCACAACACATCAGCAAATGCATTTTTAATCACCTGAAACAATTATTCTAACCTAGAAACAAATGAATTATAATCTATTTCCGCTCTATTTGTTGATTTCGAATAATGAATAGTAAATTCAATTAATGATGAGAAAAAAAATGCAGATTTGGGAGCCGTGGCCCAACCATATTTTAAAAAATTGACCTCAGGATAACAAATAACACTGTGTAGTAAAAACCACTGTTTTCATTTTTGAAGGAAACATTTTTTAATCCTTTGCATCTTTCTTTATTACCACAGCGTGATGATGATAATTTAATGTTATTCGAGTCTGCCCATGTCGAAAACTTTTCCCAATCCGTGTTATTATTCACAAGGATAGACTTTATACTACACTTGTTTTTGCAGATTCTTGATAAGTCTACAAAAGGATTGCAGCCTAAATCTATGTAATCAAAAATGTAATTATCAAACAAATTTTCTGTTATCGACTGTATAGCGTTAGCTGATAAATCAACAGACAGCTTCCCTATTACTTGGTTTTCAAAAGCATTGAATTCAATATAAGAAATATTATTGTTGTGTAAACCAATATAAGCGTCATGTTCGGTGGTAAAATTAAAGTCCCCCTCTTCTAGAAATTCAACGTCGTTACAATCAAAATACAGAAAACTTAAAATTGGTACATCTACAAATGCCTGTGGATTTATTTTTTTTAGTTGATTGTTGGATAAATCGACTGTCGTTAAATCTGGCAAGCTGACGAAAGCGTCATTTTCGATCATTTTGAGTAAATTCGATTGTAGTTGAATCTGAAGAATTTGCAGTTTTTTAAACGTCCCTTTCTTAATAATTTCGCTTTGGTTGAACCTAAAGTCAATTTGTGTGCCTACATATCTGAATTCATTTTCAAAACAGTTGGTTTGTAGCTCCTTTACATTACAGTTTCTGATCGTTAGATAAGTCACTTGATGCGCTAACTGAAACAGGTTGCAACAAATTTTCGGTATATACTGATTTACTATTTTAATATTCTTGGTATCTTCTTCGGTTGCAATCTTGTCGGAAAAATGGATTGTGTCTTGATTGGACTTCGTAGTTTGTGTCTTATAAATAATTACACCACTTTCATAATTATCACAAGAGTGTCCACTACAAGTATTAAGAGATACTAAAAGGAACATACAGATTTTACAGAACATTGTCACGATGTGTAGAGCAGTGTTGAAAGATCAATAATAATAAATTTAGTTACTATTGTAATGCATTAGTCCCGTTTTCGGCGCAACACATTAGGAAATGAATTTTTAATCACCTTAAAAAATTCTCCTTACTTAAAACTAATGGATCGATGTACAAAGTTGTACACAGAAAATCTTGCGAAATTCCATACACTTCTAGAAATTTCAGTTATTAAGTTCTCGAATATAACGCAGACCTGACATCTAATGATTTCAATTTCAGCTATTTTAACAACTTGAATGCTATAAAAAACTGGAATAATTCTATTCTAATAATATCGTCCAAAGTTACCAACACGAATACCAACTAGTTGAATTACTGACTAGTCATGCAGATTTTGTAGCCTGTTCATATACGAGTTAATAGCTAAGTATTATACCGCCGTTATTATATGGTGTAATAAATGTGTCTTCCACATTAAAATTGATTATTTGATTTAAACCCCTCTAACAGATTTCTTTCTACTTTTACGAGCTGTTACAGCTCTCTGGCACGTTTAAACTGCCGATGGTCACCTTGACAACTTCCTAATGTTTGCGTTTGTCACATTTCTACATACTTTATTGTAATGTGGATAGGTTTATCGTAAAGTTAAGTAATAAAACCTTGTATAATTTTAAACATGGACAAATTAAATTTTACATTTTATTCTCGCTGCTCTGTACAAGTGGAAACTT